AGCACCAGCCCGCGCTGGGCACCGAGGAGCCGCACAGCGTCATTGAGAGCTGGCAGCCCGTTCACAGTGGGACGGGGCCTCGCCAGTGGGGGGAGTGCGAGGAGGCCGCCTTCCACAGCCAGGACCTGCAGCAGCAGAGCGTCTACACCGGAGAAGGGCTGTTTGAGTGTAGCCAGTGCGGGAAGGCCTCCATCCAGATCTTTAACCTCATGCTCCAGAGGAGCGTGCACGCGGGGGAGAGGCTGCCCTACGAGTGCGGGGTGTGTGGGAAGTGCTTCAGCTGCGAGTTTTTCCTCCTCCGACACCAGAGTGTGCACACGGAAGGGAAGCCCTACGAGTGCAGTGTCTGTGGGAAATGCTTCAGCTGCAAGTACACCCTCATCCAGCATCAAAGAATTCACTCTGAAGAGAAGCCGTACGAGTGCAGTTTCTGTAAGAAATGCTTTAGCTACAAGTTTAACCTCATGAGGCACGAGAAAATCCATACTGGTGAGAACCCGTATGGCTGTAGCGATTGTGGCAAGTCCTTCAGCCACAGCTCTGCCCTCATCCGACACAAGAGAGTTCACACTGGAGAGAGGCCCTATGAGTGTAGCGATTGTGGGAAGACCTTCACAAACAGCTCTGCCCTCATCCAGCACCAGAGGGTTCACACTGGAGAGAAGCCCTATCAGTGCACCGAGTGTGGAAAGTGCTTCAGGCAGAGCTCCGCCCTCATTTACCACCAGAAGGTTCACGCGGGGGAAAAGCCGTATGAGTGTGGTGATTGTGGCAAGTGCTTCCGGTACAATTACATACTCATTCAGCACCGGAAGGTTCACACTGGAGAGAGGCGGTATGAATGCGGTGTTTGTGGGAAGCGCTTTATCTACAACTTCAACCTCATTAAACACCAAAGAATTCACACTGGCGAGAAGCCGTACGTGTGCAGTGATTGTGGGAAGGCCTTTAGACGAAGCTCTTCCCTCATTCAGCACAAAAGTGTTCACAGCGAAGAAAGACCCTATGAGTGCAATGAGTGCGGGAAGTCTTTCACCCGGGCGTCCAACCTCCTTAGACACTGGCGAGTTCACACGGGGGAAAGGCCCTATGAGTGTAGTGATTGTGGGAAGTCCTTCAGCCACAGCTCCGCCCTCATCCAGCACAAGAGGGTGCACACTGGAGAGAGACCTTACGAGTGTAACGAATGCGGGAAAACTTTCACCCGCACGTCCAACCTCCTTAGACACTGGCGAGTTCACACTGGAGAGAGGCCCTATGAGTGCGCTTATTGTGACAAGTCCTTCAGCCACAGCTCCGCCCTCATTCAGCACAAAAGGGTGCACACGGGAGAGAGGCCTTACGAGTGTAATGAGTGTGGGAAGTCTTTCACCCGCACGTCCAACCTCCTTAGACACCGGAGGCTTCACACTGGGGAAAAGCCTTAATGGTGCAGGGAATGCTTTCTTTCCTCTCAGGCTCACTGCACTGGGGGAGACCCTTAGAGACCAATTTCACTGAATTGAAACCTGTTGTAGCGGAGCATCCCACGCGCTTGATTCCTCATGGGTTGTAGGTACTGGTGAGGCTTGAAGGGGGTCCATTGCACTTTCCCACCTGCCCGGGGCTGTTCCTAGATGACGTCACTGCTAGATTTTGTAGGGGAGGCCCTCTCCCCTCCACCGCCTGGCTCCCCTGCACGGTGTGTCAGCCCCGCCCCTGCGTGCTCAGGGAAGCCGACCCCGTGGTCTCCCTCCTGCCGGAGGAGATGAGGAATGCGCAGGCCTCGTGGGGGGACCCTCCTTCCTTTCTCTCCGCCAGGGGTGGGCCTGGTCCCGTGCTGGGTGCTGGTCCGGGGGACCCACCCTCAGCTAAGAACTACCTTCTTGATGGACGTTGTTCTCACACTGATGCTGTGAGGAGTTCTCCCAGGTTCGCCTTCCCCGGCCTGGACGCTTGGCTGTAAGCTTTTCTGGATCGTGATGTAATGATGATAGAACTGTGGTGGTTGTATAGTCCCTGCGTGAGATGGTTTGGAATAAGAAGTGTGATCTGCCAGCATGTGGAGGGGAACGTGTCTGTGTCAGGGGACCCCTCACTGTCTGTGTGTCGGAGGGGACGGCGCGATGGTAGGGAGCCACGCCCTGTCCAGTGTTGGCTTGTTTTGTGTTGCTGCCCACGGCCTGGCAGGAAGCACTGCATGACTTTGTGGTCCTGGTAGGAACCCCGGTGCCGCGATGATGGGGAGGTCAGAGGTCACTCTGAAGAGGGGGCATTCTTTTGTGCTTCTGTGGACAGTATGAATTTAATCCCTTTTCACTGTGTACATTGCCTGCTTCCACCTGGGCGGAGGTCCTGCAGAGGAGCCACGTGCCGTGGTGGGTGGGATGTCGTGGGTGGGGGACTTGTGGGTCTCAGGTTAGGTGGGACCACAGTTGGGACAGAAGCACTGTGTTCATAGTGAAGGGGGGAGACTAGTAAATTAGAACGAGGGTGTCTCTTCTTTTTTTAAAAAAAATATTTTTATTGATTTCAGAGAGGAAGGGAGAGGGAGAGAGAGAAACATCAATGATGAGAGATGATGAGAGAGAATCATGGATGGGCTGCCTCCTGCATGCCCCACACTGGGGATCGAGCCCACAACCCAGGCACGTGCCCTTGACCGGGGAATCGAACCTGGGACCCTTCAGTCTGCAGGCCGAGGCTCTATCCACTGAGCCACACCGGCCCGGCAGAACAAAGGTCTCTCTTCTGAAAGCTCAGCCACAGATGCTCCAGGGCCTGTGGCTTCTGTGGTCCGTGGCTACAGACCCTCTCCTGACCTTTATAACTGCCTCTAGCAGCTTTGTGGATCCCCTAGACCCGTGGTCGGCAAACTGCGGCACGCGAGCCACGTGTGGCTCTTTGGCCCCTTGAGTGTGGCTCTTCCTAAGCCTTAGGAGTACCCTAATTAAGTTAATAACAGTGTACCTACCTATAGAGTTTAAGTTTAAAAAATTTGGCTCTCAAAAGAAATTTTAATCGTTGTACAGTTGATGTTTGGCTCTGCTGACTAATGAGTTTGCCGACCACTGGCCTAGCCTCTCTGAGGCGTGCGCCTCCAGGCCATTGCTCTACAGACAAGCAAACCGAGCTGGGAAGCAAGGTGATAGATTTACTGTAGTCATTCCCAGGACGTCCTTTGCGACCGTCAGCATTCCTGTGACTCCGAGGGCAGGAGTCTTCCTCGCGTGCCAGTCTCCGCTGCCCCTCCGCAAGGCTGCCCCTCCCGGACCTGAGGGGAGAGGTGGAGGCCGCACAGGCCGGCCAACCCGACGCCCTCAGCAAAGGGGGAATTCAGGCCTGCATGGGAGCGGTGTCGAAAGCTTTATTCATTCATGTACATATGTATACTTCACATGCAGCCAAGTGCACTTACCCAGTGTGTGCTGTTCGGTGAGCTTTGACACGGATAAAGCTATGAGACCATCACACAGGAAGTGGACTGGCCTGTCGCTCACAGGCAGGGTGGGACAATTGCAGGTGTCCAGTAGCGAGCACGTGCAACATGGAGTTCATTCCTGCATTATTTATTAATTATGTTGATTTCCATGCTGTCGGTCTCCGATCGCTCCGCCCTGTGTTTGCCCCCTGCCCTTAATGATCTCTCCCCGCCCGTCCCAGCCCTAACGCAGCCACTGACTTCCCTTTACTTACAGTAGATTAGTTGGTAGTTTCTGTAACGTCACAGGTGTATACGGTTTCCTTCATGCTGCACAGTTATTTCAAGATTCCAGCCGTAAAGCTGATGTGAATAGCTAATTCCTTTCCTTGTAGGAGTAGTCTGAACTGTAAATAACCCCTTTGTTTACCCATTGATCTGCCTACGGTTAGGGTTACTTCCGGGTTTGCGGTATTACAAATAAAGCTGCTATGAATATGTGCATTCCAGGCTCTTTATGTCGATACGTACTGTGTTTCTCAAACTTACAATGTAGATAAATGCTTACATTTTTTAAATGTGGAACTGCGATCTAAAACGGTTGTTCCCTTTTCCTTCCCACCGTCCCACAGGGTATGAAGATTCCTATTCTTCTGCAACTTGGCCAGCCCTTCCTGTGGCTAATTTTTTAAAAATATTTCTGGATATCAGTGTAGTGGCAACTTGTTTGTTTCAGTTCCATTTCCCTAACAATTCACGAGGGTGAGCATGTGTCCATGCATTTATTTATGAACACACTGTCTCTATCTCCTTTGGTAACATGTCTGCTCCGAATCTCTGCCTATTCTCTTTTTATGAATTTATTGTTTTTGTTTGTTTGTTAACATATTTTTATTGATTTTTTTACAGAGAGGAAGGGAGAGGGATAGAAGTTAGAAACCTCGATGAGAGAGAAACATCAATCAGCTGCCTCCTGCACAACCCCTACTGGGGATGTGCCCGCGACCAAGGTACATGCCCTTGACCGGAATCGAACCTGGGACCCTTCAGTCCCCAGGCCAACGCTCTATCCACTGAGCCAAACCGGTTAGGGCTGAATTTATTGTTTTAATTAATGGGCTGACAGTGTAGCATCCAAACACGTGTTGGAATGTCACTCATTCCTCAAGGACCCGAGTGACTTCTTTGCCCTATGGAACAGTTTTTGTGTTTTTTAAAATACAGTTTTATTGATTTCAGAGAGGGAGGGAGAAGGAGAGAAACATCAATGATGAGAGACTCGTCGCTTGGCTGCCTCCTGCACGCCCCACGGGGAGGATCAAGCCGGCAACCTGTGTGTGTGCCCCGACCTGGAATCGGACCTGGCTCATAGCCTGATGCGTACCCACGAGGCCATGCCAGCTGGGCCGGAAGTGTATGTTTACATACACGTGGGCAGACTTTTCCAAAGCGTAAGCAACAGCAAAGAGTTGCCCCTGAAGCAACAGTTAAGCTGTCTGTGTACCGTGGTTCCTCAGGAGGCCCCGCTCCCCGCACCCCGCACCCCACACCCCGCATGACCTCTGGGTCCCTTTAACTCTAGTCCGCGCGCTGCCAGTGTGGGCAGGACGTCCTCCGTACACACCGACCGATGCAGTTCTGCCCACAAGAGTCGGGAGGAGAGGGATGGCCCACACTGGCTGGTGTTGCAGGGTCATCTCACTCCAAACTACTTTTTTTTTTTTCTTAATGACAGTGAAACTTTATTATTTTTTTTCATCTTCTCCCACCTGAGGGTATATTTTTGTTGATTTTAGAGAGAGAGAGAGAATCACCGATATAAGAGAAACATTGGTTGACTCCCTTAGGCACCCAGACCCGGGGATGGAACTTGCAAACTGGGGGTGTGCCCTGACTGGGACCCCAACCCGTGACTTCTCGGTGTACTGGGCCACTCTCCAACCAGCGGAGCCCCACCGGCCAGGGCCCCTAACACCTGCTTGGAGGGGAACCATTCCTGACTCTTAGGCCTGTGCCTTGTCTGCTAACCAATTGTCTTAGGGCCTCTGGGTGCGTCGGGCCGGGAACCACATGGCACCCAGTGGGTCCATTGCACACCCCAGGAAACTCCGCACTGAAGACCGAGTGAAGATGTGCAGAAAGGCCCACGCCTTGGAGGTCTTTTTTATCTTTAGTCCTCACTTGAGGATATTTTTCCCATTGCTTTTCTGAGGGACTGGGAGGGAGGGAGGGGGAAGGAGAGAGAGAAACATCGATGTGAGAGAAACATCAATTGGTTGCCTCCCCCACACCCACCCCGATGGAGAGGGGGAGTGAACCCGAAATCCAGGTGCGTGCCCCTGACTGGGAATCCAGCCCTCAGCCCTTCCTTCCATGTGCAGCCTGGTGCTCTAACCACCGAGCCACAGGGCCCAGGATGAGATCTTATCATTGAGGTTGGGGTCCTGAGGCCGGTACACAGGCACAGCATATCCCCCCCACCCCCCCAGCTCCGCAGGGTAGGCCCTTGAATGAATCCTGTTAGCCAGAGAGCAAGCAGGAATGCATGGTCTGAGGGACAATCCCCCTGCTGCCTACAGCAATGATCTTGATTATACCCATGGCCTTGTTTTAAATGTTTTTATTGATTTTTTTAAAGACAGGAAAGGCAAAGGAGAGAGAGCTAGAAAGGTCAATGAGAGAGAAACATCATTGATCGGCTGCCTCCTGCACACACCCTACTGGGGATCAAGCTCACAACCCAGGCATGTGCCCTGACCAGGAATCGAACCCTGACTTCCTGGTTCCTGGGTCAATGCTCAACCACTGAGCCTCACCAGCTGGGCTGTATATATATTTTTAAGATATTTTGATTGATTTCAGAGGGGAATGGAGAGGGAAAGAGAGAGAAACATCAACGATGAGAGAGAATCATTGAACAAATTCCTCCTGCCGCCCCCCACTGGGGATGGAGCCCTCAACCCGGGAATGTGCCCGGACCCAGGATGGAACTGTGGCCTCCTGGTTCATAGGTCGATGATCAACCACTGAGCCACGCCGGCCGGGCTACCCACGGGGTTTTAATTTACAGAGATGACCGAATGG